ATGGAGTTCCAGCTCCTGGCTCGAGCCCAGCCCAGCCCATTATTGTAGTTATTTGTGGGAAGTGAAGTAACAGATGGAAGAGCTCTTTCTTTTAAATAAATAACCCTTAATATAAGAAAAATGAGCTGGTGGAAATCCCAATGAGGCCATTTTGGGAAAGCCTGAAAGAATTCCTTTAAAAAAAAAAAAGCCGAATTTACTATCAACCCAGCAATTCCATTCCTACATGTCACCCCAAGGGAAGTGCAAACATGCACAAACAGCCCCGTTACGCACTCCGGCTGAGAGAGGGATGTGCAAACTGACGGGCGGTGAGTCCACGGCTCACCTCCATGGTGAGAGCTACAGCCATGAGAGGAACACTGTGACACACAGGGAGCACATGTGCTCCGACACGGAACAACAGCAAAAGCACCGTGCTAAGTGCAGGACACCAGACACAAGACACTGCAGTCTGATTTCATGAGTGTGAAACATCCAGAAAAGGCAGCTCTACAACACAGAAAACAGACCCAGGGCTGCCTCGGACAGGGGGCAGGTTGGGAATGAACAGAAAAGAGCTGTGTGATGGCTCAACAGGCTGATCCTGCACCTGTAAGCACTGGCATCCCAGGTAGGCGCTGGTTTGTGACCCAGTTGCTCTACTTCCCATCCAGCTCCCTGCTTGTGACCTGGGAAAGCAGTAGAGCACGGCCCAAAGCCTTGAGACCCTGCACCCACACAGAAGGCCCAGAAGCTCCTGGCTTTGGCTCAGCTCAACTCTGTCCATTGCAGTCACTTGGGGAGTGAACCAGCAAATGGAAGATCTTTCTCTTTGTAAATCTACCTTTCCAATACGAATAAACCAATCTTCAAAACATTTTTTTTTTTTTAAATTAAAACAGCACAACTGATTCTTTTAAAAAATTATGTATTTGTTGATCTGAAAGACAGAATGATGAAAAAAGAGGAGGAGAGATCTTTCATTTGTTGGTTCACTCCCCAAATGGCCAAAACAGCCAGGCCTGGACCAGGCTGAAGCCAGGAGCCTAGAACTTCATCTTGGTTTCTCTTACGGGTGGCAGGGGCCCAAGGTCTTGTGCCATCACCCGCTGCCTTCCCAGGCCTTTTGGCAGGAATCTGAAACAGAAATGGAGCAGCTGGGACTTGAACTGGTGCTCTGATATGAGATGCCGGTGCCCCAAGCAGCAGCTCAACCTACTGAGACACAACACCGTCCTAGCATAGTGAATCTTACTCGGGTGACAAAAATGTTCCAGAACTCATACATGGTGATGGTCGGACAACTTGCTAAATTTATTAAAAGAGTAACTGAAAGTACACTTGAAATGGGTGCGTTTTATGGTATGTGAAACAGACCACAATAAAACTACATGTATATAAAAAGACCGACCATTAAGCCAGGGACACAACCAACCGGAAGCTACAGCAGCATGCCAGGGAAGCAGGGAAAGTTGTGGGGCCCAGGAGCTGCTTCTGCAGCAGCGGGGGGTGGGCAGGAAGCTCCCAAGGGAGGCAGGGAGCGGTTGGGCGGTGGGCAACGGCGTGGGCCTCTGTGTACATGCAAGCAGGCCTACCTACACCCACCACTGCGCGGAGTGTGCTGTTCCTCTCGCCCTCAGAGCAGCAGCTCCTGAGAGGGAGACCAGCTAGCCACGCCTCCTGCCCACCAGCTGTCTTCCTGCCTTGGATGGGAAGGTGTGCCTGCGTCGAGAGCACCTCCTCACGGCCTTCTCCTCGGCCAGAGGTGAGCTTTTCCGAGCAGTTCACCTGCCCCTGTCCACAGCTGGTCAATGCAATTCCAGGAGGAACTCACAGGAAGCTCCATTAGGGGGGTGGTAAGCCACTCTGTGGCCATGAAGTCCCCGGGCTTACAACAAAAGCAAATACTGCACGTTCATTCCCCCAGGCCTCGGGTCTCTATTTCTTATCTGGAAGTGTAGGGGCTGTGAGTCACATTCCAACTTAAGGTCACTCACCATTGTCCTCTGTGACTTGCCACACCTGCAGGTGACCACCTGGAAGGCCACTGGTCACCAGCAACCTGTTCAGGACAGACAGGAAATCTGTGTCTAGACAGTGGGGTGCTCACCCCGTGGCCCCCAGCCTTCCCTGTCAGCCATTCGGCATGGGATCCCTCCACTTCCAAGTCACGAAAAACTGCAGGACCATGCAGTGGAACCACACTCACGAGAGGAGAAGCGTGCTTACTCCACCATGGGATAGGGTCATGGCACAGGGGAGTCACAAAGCTATGTGCCTGCAAGTCATCAGGTCGCCCCGAGGACACAACTGCCCTGGCCCAGGAGTCAGTAGCTCCCTGCCAGTTCTCAGAAAGCCGGTGCACCCCACTTTCCTGATTTCACACCTGTGCTGGGTAGTTAGCGGAGGAGACAGGGGCAGGTGTGGGCCACAGCTGTGGTCCTGAGACGTCTAAATCTGTGTGCACACATGCACAGGGGGCAGGGTGTGGATCTGGTGGGAGCCCCATGGAACAGGCAGCCATCCATCCTCATGGGAAGGTCAGGGTCACAGAACTGGCCTTACCTGGTGTCTGGCACGTGCTTCAGATCAAACACAGGACCGTCTGAAAACCCTCCATGGCTCACCTTGAAGTCTCTTTCTGGGTGCAAGCCCTGAAATAAGAAGCAGAGGCTGATCAGCAGCCGTGTGCCCCAGGTCCTCTCCACCAGGCTCTAGATGCAGCTGCAGCCCTGCCCTGAGCTCGCTGGGTGGGCAGTCCAGGAGCTCCCCAAGGGCCTTGCTGGGTGACTGCAAACGTCCATCTCTGCAGCTCACACACCCTCTGCCCATCTGAAGCCCTCTAGGCCCTTCCGCTCCAGCACTCACGGTACACACCAATCCTTCTCGATGAGTCCCCACAGGGTTTGCATGTTCCCCAAGTGTGGGGGCATGTGCCCACATCTACCCCACCTTCCTACAGGATACCGGGGAATTCTTGCAGCGACTCCATTGTAACAACTGTAGTTCAGCGCCCGATCCTCATGCCACGCACTGTTGGAGCTTTCTTGCCAATCCAAAGCCAGGATTTAGGAGCTTCTTCAGCATCTCCCATGCGGGTGCAGGGTCCCAAGGCTTTGGGCCATCCTCGACTGCTTTCCCAGGTCTCTCCTTATGCTCCCATCCCTGCTCACCCAGCCCCTCCTCCTTCCTGCTCCTGGGCCCTTCTCTGCGCCAACCTCCAGCCCCCCTGCCAATCCTCAATCATGACTGAGAACCCTGGTTACCCACCTCCCCTCCCGCCCAATCTCCTCGTCATCTTTTGCCCTCACCACAGATGTAGAGCAGGTGTCACCGCCAACTCCTCACATGGAGTGACCTTTTCAACGCTAGCAGGGGAGGACCGGATGGCCCTGGTGGGGAGCTGCCCACACTCCTCCCCTTGGCGTGTTCCTTCCCGGCGTCTTCCCTTTCAGAGTCCCCTCTCTCTCGGCGACCACTCTGCCCTCTGAGGCTGCTGTCTCCTCGCTCTGGTTCCTGGAACAGCCCACCTCCGTCCCAGGCCTGGGACTTCTTCATACCGGAAGCCGACCTCTCCCACAAGCAGCCTGGTGCAGACCACCGCACTCCTCGATGCAAAGCCGTGTCACTCTATCACGCTACGAGGGCCGGCCCAGTGCTGGCCTCTTTCTGCCCCGATTCCAAGGCAAAGCCTGGGGTAGCTAATCCAAGCCCCACAAGTGTTTGTTACATAAATAGAAGCTTCGGAATGTCGAGTTACCTGGTTTTCTGTCACAGAAAGTCTGGGAGGTAACAGGAGGTGAAGAATCTCGTTCTTTTTCAGGCTTTCGTAGCCGGCCACAAAGACTCCTGGAAAAGAAGCAGCAGAAGTAGCTGCGGCAACCGGTTGGACTGCAGCAGACCTCGGCTGCGACTGCAAAATCCCGGGGAGACGGCGCCGGAGGGGCTCCCCACGAATCGCCCGGGCTCCCTCAGGCGAGTCCACCTCCTTCGGGGCCAGCAGGGCGCCGTTACCTCTGTTCCCGATCCACTCCAGGACTCGAGTGGCTCCCGAGAGGTCGAACGCGTGGAAATCCTGGTACCTGCACGATTCAAACGGCGCCACTGTCAGAGGGCGCCCGGCACCACGCAGGTGCCGCAGGACGCAGGGCGCATGGCGCACAGCACCCCGTCACCCACGTGCGCCGTCACGCGCGCTGCGCCCGCACCGACCCGGGCTAGGCAGGCTTCTCAGCGCTGTCCCGCCTGTCCGGTCAGCCCCAAGGCTCAGAGCCGGACCCCCAAGTCCCCAAGCGACTTACAAGCGTAACGATTCCACCAGCCAGTCCTCCGCGGACTCCATGGCAACGGCCGCTTCCGGTACCCCACTTCCGCCGCCGAGCCTTCCGGGGCGGACGCTGCCCTCTCGCGAGAGGCGGGGCGGGGCCGAAGGTATCCCACGTGTTCGAGTCATCTTTCCCCGTCAGGGTTTCTTGGGGCGCCAAGCTCAAAAGTGACAATAAGACCGGGGCTGCTCCAGGTCCCCCCAAGTGCTTAACCCCGGAGCGCCCTGCTGAGGACCCACGAGAGGTAGGGAGGCGGCGCCGGGTGCACTTGCCGACCCGGCTCTCCAGGCTTCCCCCTCCCAAAGAAGGGAGGAAGAGAACCAGGCACGCTGCAGGCGCCGGCCGCTGGTGGAATGGGTGAAGGAGCGGGTGCCAGGCTGGTGGCGCTTCCCGGAGCCCAGCCCCTCTCCCGCTCGCCCTCCCGCGCAGCTGGAAGGAGAGGCCCGCACACACACGTTCCGTGTGAAGAGTACGTTTTATTCACAGCTTCACCAGGGAGAAACAGAATGTCGTGTGCATCCCCGCCAGGGTCTGGCCACCCCACCCGAAAACGCGATCATGGAGTAACGGGGCTAGGGGCCCGGAGTTGCCGTCCGGAGGGAACCGCCGCGGAGGTGGAGGGGGCGCCATCCCACAGTTTGCCTGGGTCGGCTCGGTCTCGGGCGGGCTGTCCTGTTCTCCCCCTTGCTGACCTCACTTCTGCAGCCTGCGCACCAAGGGCTCGCTGTCCTGCAGGAAAACACAGGTGGGAGTTGAGCCTCTTCCTACCGAGGTTGGGGGCAGGGCAGGCCCCTGGCTTCTTTCTCCCAGAAGGGGCTGGAAGGAGTCAGGGTTCTTGCCCTCTCACTGAGGCCTGCCCCCCCACAGGTGTGCTCCTTCTGAGGTGCCCTTGGGACGCCCAGTCCTCCCACCTGAGCCCTTGGAGAGCTGGCAGGAGGCTTTGGGCTGCAGGCAGGGGTGCTGGCTGGGGCTGGAGGCAGATGCTGGGACTGCTCAGGGAGTGCCGTTGTTGTCTAGTTCCGTAATGTGCATACTCCATGTCAGACACAGAGAGGGTGTGAAGGGGAGGTGGCAGTAAGCACTGCTAGCAGCTCCCACTCCTCCGAGGTATTCTGGGCACATGACACAAATGATCTCCCTGGCTGGGAGAAGGCCCGTTACTCTCTGCATCTCATAGATGAAGGGGAGAGGGTGGAGAGCTTCCTAGGGGCACACAGCTACCAAGGAGCAGGGTGATGAGGAGCCCAAGGCTCTCATTCTGCCTTCCACACACGGCCCCAAGTCCCAGGGAAGATGGTTCACCGTGAGATGGCAGCAGAAGCCAGGGCCGCCATTCAGCTGGATTGTGTGGGGTCGGTGGTTTACAGCCCACAACAATGAGGGTACCTTCCCCTTCTCCCCACCCCACGAGGCATCTGGGGATGTCTGCAGGCCCCTTCGGGGGGGGGGGGGTGATCAGAGATGCTACGTATAGCCAGAGCCCTGCCACTGGCTACGAGAGGCCCGTGCAGGAATGCCAAGGGCACAGTCAAGACAAAAGAAGGCCCAGGTGTTGGCTTGGCTGCTGTCTTCCCTCCACATCTCTAGGCCTCAGGGTTCCAGTTCTAGCTAAAAGCCTGGGCAGGGCCCAGTAAAGGTGGATGTGGTCAGTGCAGCAGGGGGCACATGGTGGGGAGGGCAAAGTTGTCAGGACCAGGAGATCCTGCCAGTGGTCAGGTGAAGGAGGGGCAGGGGCTTGTGCATGGCTGTCTGCTGGGGGGGTCAGCTTCCTTGTTGCAGTGTCCCCCTCTCTGAGCCCCTGACTGGAGGGAGGACCTGGGCTCCACAGCCATCACCAAGCTGTATGTCCAACACTGAGTGATGGTTCCCCCCACTGGCTGAGCCCTGCTGGCCCCAGTGCTGGGCAGGGCGTGGCTCACCTGGGCCTGGGCTGCGGGGCCGCTGAGGCTCATGCCCAAAGCTTTCTGTAGCAGCAGGACCCCGAGCAGATCATGACTCAGCTGCAGCCTCTGGCCCCGTGGGCTGGCAGGGGAAACGGTCCCCAGTGGGGCAGGGCCGGCCAGCTCCAGGCTCTTCTTGCCCATGAAGTGACCTAGAAAGGAGGTGTTGAGGTCCAGAGAAGCTAGGGAGTAAGGATGGGACCTCAGTGGGAGGTTTCCCCCTCGCCCACCCCGCAGGAACACTTAACACCTGTCTCCCCTCCATGGATAGACCTGCAGAGATGCCTGGGTGGCTGCAGGACCCCCTGCCTTGGCTCTTCCTGAACAGGGTGTAGAAGGGTGCCCTGCTGCTTGCATGGCCAAGCCCGAGGAGGGAAGCTCAGAAAGGGGTGCAGCGGTGCAGACAGGAGACCCACCACAGGCTACAAAGTCTGGGCTGAGGGCAGGCACAGCAGGCTGGCAGGCAACTGGGATCCAGCCCAGCCCCGCCTTCGGCTGCTCACCATCAAGTTCCCCCTCTAAATGGGACTAGTCCCCGTCCTCACTTGCTCTGCTCTAGTCTCCGTGGTGAGGGGTGAATTAGGGATAGCTAAGGAATTGAGATCTGGGCAGGGTGAAGGGGACCCACCATCCGCCCCCAAAAACTCACCAGTGGCCCAGAGGTTGCCCCGTGGGTAGACTCGGTTCTTGATGGCTCGGCCGCGGGACTCTGGGAGATCCCAGCCAAGGGGGGCCGCGCCGGCGGCAAGCAGGGCAAGGAGCAGGAGGCCACCTAGCAGCCGCGCGCCCCCCGGCTGCCGGGCCATGGCTATGCGGCTGGCAGCAGACTAGCACTCTAGCTGCTTCCCCAGCTTTAAACCCGCGCCTCCAGGGGCGGAGCCTGTCCCCACCAAACCCGAGCCCGCCCCGCCGCACTCCTGGCGGGGGCCCGCCGCTGCTGGGGTCTGGGTCAGGAGCCTTGCCCACGGACGCGCACAGCCGCTGTGAGTGGCGGAGCTCAAGCCTTCAGGCTCCAGACTCGGGTTGCGAAAGCCATGCCCACCCCTGGCGCATCCTCATGGTTCCTGGAAGACACAGGCATTTTGGCAGTCCTGTTTAACACTGCCAAGCACTAGACAAGCTCCAGTTACTCTCCATCACTTATCCCCTTTCTGCTCTGCCCTCGGGGATGCACCCAGCTGGTCACCTGGCCAGGTGCTGTGTTAGGAATCAGGAGGGTGCAGTGGAAAGAGCACCGGATCAGGGGTCCATAGAAAAGTAAGATGGTGAGGTCCTCATTGCCCTGTTTAGTAATTCCACACCCCCCACCCCGCCCTGGCTTCAGGAGCAGGGAAGGCACTATGCAGTTCAGTTCTGCTTTTCACCTTGACTTTGCCCTGTGTGCAGGCGCACTGTGCTGGTGGCTGGGGGGGAGGGGGGAATTGCAGACAACAAAAGAGGGATAGAGACCCATTGCATGTGTGAGGGAGCCTGCCATCTCCGTGCAGGGACAGTGCACACAGGCAAAGGATGGAGAGGCTGTGGCCTCTGGAACCACGCAGTGTGGCGACGACAGCCTGCCTCAGTATGGCTCCGGAACGGCCCATTCTTACTGCTTTGACCTGTGTGCAGCTCAGCAAGACCTGCCAGCCCTACAGCCCCTTCCTGGAGAGAGAAATTTCCACAAGGAGTGGGTTGTCTTGCTGAGTTCCAGGAGCATGACGCACAGGTCAGGGGCGCTCCATTTCTGGATCTGGCTTTTTGCCCAATCTTTTCGTTTCTCACCCCCCACTCTGGCAGCGGCACCTTTGCTTTCCTGTCATAGCTTACCTTGGTGTGCCAACGTGGCTCTCGTCTCCTTTCCCTAACCATCACCTGCTTTCCTCTGCATCCTGAGGCCTGTCCAGGGAAGTGGTGATGAGCAGGAACCCACTAGAGCTGCCTCACCACAGGTTCCAAGCAGCCCCACTGCTAAGTGTGCTTTCTCAGGTTTAGGGAGAGGCAGACTCAGAGACTGACCAGACTTCAGGTGGGTCAGGACCACGCAGGGCAGACACAGCCCCCTGCCCCCCAGTCATACCCGCTGCCTTTTGACCTTCCCATGGCAACCCCAAGTCAGGGTTAGACCTGGGGGGACAGGCCCCACCACTTCTGCAGGTGACCCCTGGACCTTCAGCTCTGCTCTGTTCACTTTCTTTGTGCTAAGGCTGAGCCTCCCTAATGCAGCCCCTTCACAGCCCCAGAGCCCCTGAGGACCTGGCACGGCAACAAAGAGGGGCTGTGAGGAATGTGGAGCTGCAGCAGGGCAGGGGCCTATGGCCTGTTCCCTCCATCCGCTTTGACAACAAAAGCCCAGAGGTCTCCTTCATGCAGGCACAGGCTGGCAGGGCATCACACAGGCATGCCCATGGGCACGGGCCAGCTTGGCAGAACACACTCCTGATCAACAATCCTGGATGCCACAGGAAATGAGGAGAAGGCCCGCAGGCCCATCCCAAGGTGAGTAAGGGATGAAAGACAGTGGATAAACCCTATTATGACCAACACCCAGAAGACATTTCAACTGCACCATGACTTTAAACCAGACATTGAAATAAAGGACCTATGTATTCCTGTTTTTCTTACATTTTTATGACACTGGAACTGATTACACACAACATGTTCTCATGCCCCAGGCTTTCCATCAGCAACCCACGTGGCTGTCCCTGTATGTGCCTCTTTCAGCACGGCTAGACACAGAGAGGACCAGGGCTGAGCCTGTTTTCTGGCCAAGTTTTCTCAGGTACAAAAAAGCTGCAGACACTACACAAAGGGAGAAACACAGAGGATGACAGAGAAAGGGGGTGGAGAAATGGAAATAAACGAGGCAGGAATGGGAAGGACAGACGGAGGGCAGCTCCTGGCGGCCCAAGCAAGCCTCCAGCTGTGTCTCCATCATTGGGGCCCAGCACACAAACATCCTGGGAGAGCGCACTCCTCCTCGTTCTCACAGTGAGGCAGTCAGGAAATCTTGCAGAAATGAAAACCACCAAGGTTACGTCTTCCAAATACCCTTGGCAAGAGAACCCACCTGGCACCTAATGACAAGAGGAGGGTGGCTGAGAGGGTAAGAAGCTCCTGCTGAGTTTTCTAACCAGTGCCAGGTGCACCCAGGGAAGTCCCAAATACCTGCACAGGCAGAGGCCACAGGCCCAACATGTGGCACAAGTGGAGTGTAACAGTCATACCTCAGGGCATTTCTGTGACTGAAGTAACTACTTTTGAGACTGGCGTTACAGGGCTGTGGGTTAAACTGCCACCTCAATGCCAGCATCCCATAAGTGCAGGTTCAGGTCCCAGCTGTTCCACTTCTGATCCAGCGCCTTGCTAACATGTTTGGGAGAGCAGCACCGATGTTCCAAGTGCTTGAGCCCCTGGGCCCAGGTTCCTGGCTTTCGCCCGGCCCAGCACTGGCTGTTGTAGCTGTCTGGAGAGTGAAGAAGCAGATGGGAGATCTGTTTCTCCCTCTCTGTGTAACTATCTTCCAAATAAATAATTCTTGGAAATCTGCCAGAGAATCTCACTATTTCTAGGTGATGTACCAACCTGAGCAAGGAAAACCTAACACCTCTGAAGAATTCCCAGGAACTGACACCCCCAGGGCTTGCCCCAAGTAAGTCTCTGAACTTTGCTGTGACAAGGACTGGGTCATGGAACCCAGCATGTTATGTGCAAGGTTCAGGGTGAGCATGGTGATGCAGGAATGGCAGAGGACTTCAAGTGCAGTGCTGCCGTGTGTGGGCCACGGAATAGGCAAATTCCTTCAACTCTCCTGGTTTCTCTTGCAGAGTGCAAGTTATTTTAAGGCTTACTAAATTAGAGAAAAGTCAAAGTTTGTCAGAAGCAACAAAGTCTCCAAGGACCTCTTCTAACTAGAACCTGGGAAGAGTAAATCTGGCCTTCGATCTGAAGCCCACTTTGGGGGGTCACATGGAGTGGCGGTGGGCACTTCCCTTAGTAGCAGGTAGGCCCTGGCAAAATGTGACATTCTCGATCATTTGATAAACTGAAATGCCAGCACCTCCACCTCAATTCTTGACTCTGAGGAAAGAATCTGATACTACAGTCTATTTTTCAGCTCAGTGTGAGGTCAGGCTAAGAGATCTGCTCAAGATGTGATGCTAGTTGATTGACTTACTTACCAGACATGAGTCCTAAGTATAAATGCTTGTAAGCACAGACTGAACTCATTGTGGGATCCAACCTGGCAAGCTAAACAGATGAGCCAATCAAAGCAACAGACACAGGGACACAACTCAGAGTAACAAGCATTCCAGAAACTCCAAAAGTCAGTAAAAACAAAGATGGGATATGTGAGTATGGTTTGAAAGTCAAGGGGCCAATGTGATGGCTCAAAGCCTTAGGACCCTGCACATGGGAGACCCAGAAGAGTCTCCAGATTGGCTCAGCCCCAGCTACTGGGGCCATGTGGGGAATGAACTAGCAAGTGGAAGAGCTTTGTCTCCCCTCTGAATTTGCCTTTCCAACAAAAATAAAAACTCAAATGCAGTATAACAAAATCGTATATGGGAAGAGAGTAACGGTAATATAACTTATGGGAAAGCAAGACAAGATATTCCTGGCTACTAAAAATCGGAGACTGGTTATGGACCTGGGGGAGGAGTCTATCAGAACAGGGAGCAGGAATGAGATTTCTGTTCCCTTAGACGCCATGTGTTTTAAAAGACCACTGCTCACAGGAATGGTGACTTTTTGCAGAAGTTGCCAAGGAACTGAGGAACACTCCCTGGAATGGTTCTATGAAAATCACTAGCTCATGACGCTGACCACCCTAGGCACCACTGCACAGCATCACAGAGATGCAATGGTTCCAGAAACGTCCTGGTCCTCAGGCATTACTGCAGGTTCCCTACATTCCACACAGCACAGCAGCGACTACTTCCTTCCCACCTCAGCAGCTGCAGGACCCATGGCTGGGACTACTCCTCTTGGGTGCAGATGCCATCAGCTGTGGGGTTTCTAGGGGAGGGGGAGTCCCTATCTCACTTGACCTCATCCTTTTCCTTCTACCACACTTACTTCAACTCTGAACTATTCCATTATTTCATGTTTGCTCACACAGCACGGCATCAAATCTACCTTTATAGATCAAGGTGGGCTATAAATCTAAAGTGTGCAAAGTGCTTATGAAAGGGACTTGGGGATATACGAGGATGCATCAGAGGCTGGTCTTGTCTTGGTGGCTGGTGGGAGAGGGATGACATGGAATGACTGTGGCAGTGCTAGCAAGGAGGAGGCAGAGCCAGGCACGGCCCCGAGCAGAGTACTGCCTGCACTGGGAGCCCAGTCCACAAGAAGTCCTCTCACGAGGGCCTCCTCCATGTGTGTCCCAACTTGCACTGGCAGTGCTGGGAGGAAGGCTGCCCAGAGAAGCATCGCACTCCTGGCAGGGCAGAAGAAATCTTGCTGTGCTTGTCTTTGCAGCTCTAGGAACACATGTACAGGGCAGATGCATGAGGAATGCCTACTGAGTGAATGAGCATGCTTTCAGCAGGTGGAGTGACCGGCACATCTGAGCAGTAACACCACTGCCTGGCACCGCAACATGGGGTCTCGGGAGAGCTGTGGCTGGGAAAACCTGAACACCCAGACCATACTTAGATAAAGTTTTCAGCATTGTTTGCTAAGCCCTGCATGTACTAGCTTCCACCACTTCTTGGTTACACAGCCATTGTTTCTACCCACCACAGCTGTGTGTGAGGGCTCACATATGTTGTTTCAATTTTGAAAATTTACCTGGTATTGCTGATAGTTCTAGCAAGGGAAGAAGACACACATGGCCAGGCAACAGCCGGTATGAGCCACTGTGACTTGAATGAGCACGAGCTAGATTC